CGGCCGCCGCGAACTGACTTGGATGTGCTATAAAATGAGGCCCCCGAGCACGTCCCGTTCCCTAGGTAGCCTCAAATCACCCCCCTTGTTTCCCCGTGGCAGCCAATCGACCCGGGGAGGTCTTCTTCCCCATCTCCGGCAACCTCAGCCACCGCCACTGCCCCGGTCATTCCGGCACCACCAGGGTCTCCCCCTCTCCACTCTCTTCACCAGGAGCCCCCTCTCCCCCTCGTGAGTCCATCCCCCTACTCAATTTTGATCGGGACTCGCTGCGGGCGAAAACTCACTCTTCCCGACGGCCACCTTCCGCTGCGGAGCTCGCCGCTGGCAACTCCGTCCACCCCAGAGACCAAAGCGACCACCGGAGTGACCTCCTCGACCCCCTGAGCCCACGGGTGACCTCTGTTTCTCGAACAGTGCCGCCGTTCGCCGGCGAGCGTCGCCGGAGTCCCGCCCCCTCTAGGGCAGAGGAAGAGGAGGGAAGGTGGACTAGTCAAACCTGACCAGTGGGCCAGGAGGGCCCACTGTCAATGACCACTCACGGTCCACGCTGGATAAGTGGAGGCGTAAAGTCGGAATACGCCTTCGACGTGTATGTATATTCGAATCGTTTTCTTTTTCTGTTTTTTTAATAACAGATTTTGACCAAAACTTTGACTGTCTATAAATTTTTAAATATAACTCCAAATGAATTGATTCTTTTTCCTACCTCTCCCAAATGTTGTCTAGTTTATTTTAAGATTTATTTCAAAAAAATCAGACAACTTTTTGGTACTGTTTTTGAAACTATATATTGATTCAAAAATCTTTTAAATAGGATTTTTGAAGAGAGGAGAAAGCCTTCAAAAACTTTTGGAGTGCACCTTGCCTCCCCACAACTTGAAGGCAAGCATCCTGAACCCTGGTATAATATTTGTGATGTGTTGGTTGACACGATTATAACACCACCTTATTTCAGAAAACTCGTTATTTTATGTGGTGATACGATCCTTTGCATGAATGCATATTAGTGATTTCCTTGCTGGTGGAAATGAATATACTTGAGATGGTAATCATCCTCATGTGCCTTGCATGCATGCCGGAAAGGAATCCGGGAAAACCTCTTCCTTGGGTAGGCGTGAGCTTGTCGCCGGTCTCCGTCGGGACGGTTATGTCCGGTATGGCATATTAAGGTGTAATGAGCGGTGATTCTGTTGGTTGAAATATAATTGTTATACATGTCATACAGGGAAATTATTAACCTCCTGAGTCGACCGTAGATCGAGTCTTGTTCCAGTAACCCCCACACTTGTTTTGTGCTACCACTTGTCCCTGCCACAGGTAGGGTACGGTTCAGTAATTTGTTAACCCCTTTCTAGCACACACCGTACAGAGGGGCCGGGATGAGGGTACCATGGCCATGGATGAAAGCCAGTCATCCGGTCAGGGGGCATGGGTGTTTCGGTTGTAGCCGAGGGGGTAGCTTCCCCAGTTTTGCGCGCGGTATAAATTTTGTGATCCCATGCTAATCGAGGTTGTAGCCTCCCCACTTAGAGTTTTGCTTAACGAGTGTCGTGGGTGATTCCAGACACCGGTAAGTTAAGCTGGTGTGTGCAAGTCAGGTGCATTTTCATTTAAAAGACCATAGACGGAATTAGTCCCGATGGACTAAAGGAATCCGTTACTCGTGGGTAAAGAGTACACCCTCTGCAGAGATTAAACCTATTCGAGTAGCCGTGTCCATGGTTAAGGACTATAGTCTGGATTGGGTCAAGTGTCGGTCTTCGGAGGAGAAACCGTTAAAACAAAACTTGGATCATGACTTGTGCTGATTATGATAATTTTGATTATCATTATGGACTAACCCATTATATTATTTGAATTATTGAGTATCCCTGGGACGGTTCTACCCCCTGGATATTCATTGTGATTATTTGTTTTATAAGCCCTTTATGTGGTGTCGCTGAGACGCCCGACTGTGGCATTGCTTGTTATTTATTTACTTTATAAGCCCTTTATGTGGTGTCGCTGAGACGCCCGACTGTGGCATTGCTTGTTATTTATTTACTTTATAAGCCCTTTACGTGGTGTCGCTGAGACGCCCGACTGCGGCATTGCTTGTTATTTATTTACTTATAATCCCTTTACGTGGTGTCGCACAGACGCCCGACTGCGGCATTTTATTTCCATTCCATTATTGCTCATTCATGTTGCATGTAAATAACCTGTTTGCATGCATAAGAGATTTTATTTATGACCGACGATGTGATCATAGAATATTTCAGTGCATGATTATCATTTATATTATCCCAATGTTCATAATGTTTGCGAGTACATTCAAAGTACTCACTGGCTTGTCCCTGGCTATTGTCTTGGCCAGATTTCTTGCACGGAGAGGAGCGACGGGATGACAGCCCCGGAACCTAAGCAGTGGTGGTAGCAGCCTCGCGAAGATAGGAGTTACCTGGTCAGCTGTTCTTGTGGGAAATGGAGTCCCATAGACACTGATGATTCACAAACCACTTCCGCCATAAACCATTAGAAACCATTTGTTGTACTCACAGGCCAGAATGGTCTTGTACTACATATTTTGTATTTTGCTTGGAAATTCTGTATCAAGTCGGTGTCTCATCAGCTAATAGTAATCCTGGGGCTGGTGAGCATAACGGCCATTTTCTGGAAATTAATACCCGGAAAACCGGTCGCGACACTCGATTTTGGGTCTTGTTCTTTTCGTGTCGGGTTTAGCAGTAGTTGCACGGCAGTAAGGCACGGCAGTTCCGCCCCGATTGGGCGGTAGTACCGCCTATGAGCAGTAGTACCGCTCCGGTCGGGCGGTAGTACCGCTACTGCATTACTGCCGCCGTACTCTGCTCTGCCCTGCCTCTTTTTGACTCGTGTTATGTTCCTCCAGCGGTAGTACCGCTGTGGTGCGGTACTACCGCCCCAAGGTTCATGTTTTACTGCTCCCTTTTCCTGGTTCTACCACTCAAGCGGTAGTACCGCTCGTGGAGCGGTAGTACCGCTCGTGTGCGAGCTGAGCACTTAACGGTTGGATTTCCCCCCTCCTATATAAGGGGGTCTTCTTTCCCAATGAACCTTATCCTTTGAGCTCGTGTTCTTCCCCCATTGTTGACCTTCTTCGAGCTTGCTAACTCTCAATCCCTTCATGAATTCTTGCTAGTTTTTGAGGGAAAAGAGAGAGGAGATCTAGATCCACATTTCCACCAATCACTTTCTCCTCTATGTGAGGGGAACCCCTTGGATCTAGATCTTGGAGTTCTTGGTGTTCTCCTTCTTGTTCTTCCTCTCATCTTCCTCCCTAGCATTAGTTGTTTCGGTGGGATTTGAGAGAGAAGGACTAGGGCACTCCGTGTGCCCTTGCCATTGCATTTGGTGCATCGGTTTGAGTTCTCCACGTGATACGTGGAAGTTACAAGTTGAGAAGCTTATTGCTCTTGGGTGCTTGGTACCCTTGAGCTGGTTACTCTTGGGTGTTCGTACACCCTAGAGCTTGTTCCTCTTGGGTGCCTTGGCGCCCTAGACGGTTGGAGTTGTTCAGAGCTCAATCATTGTGGTGTAAAGCTCCGGGAAAGTGTCGGCTCTCCAATTAGGTTGTGGAGATCGCCCCGACCAATTTGACAGGTACCGGTGACCGCCCCCAAGGGTTGCCAAAGTGTATGGCTTCGGTGACCGCCCCCAAGGGTCGCCATTTGTACGGGTTCGGTGACCGCCCTCAAGGGTCCCTTAGTGGAATCACAGCATCTTGCATTGTGCGAGGGCATGAGGAGATTACAGTGGCCCTAGGGCTTCTTGGGGAGCATTGTGCCTCCACACCACTCCAGACGGAGATTAGCATCCAAAAGGGTGTGAACTTCGGGATACATCATCGTCTCCGCGTGCCTCGGTTATCTCTTATCCGAGCCCTTTACTTATGCACTTTACTTTGTGATAGCCATATTGTTCTTTGTCATATATCTTGCTATCGCATAGTTGCTTATCTTGCTTACCATAAGTTGTTGGTGCACATAGGTGAGCCTAATTGTTTTAGGTTTTGTGCTTGACAAATTAACCGCTAGGTTTATTCCGCATTTGTTCTAGCCTCAACCATAATTATTTTAAAGCGCCTATTCACCCCCCCCCCCTCTAGGCGACATCCACGATCTTTCAAAGGTTCTGAAAGGTTGGGAATGCCAAGAAGCCTCAGAGTTATCCGGCAAAACTCAGGGGAAGGATTTTGAAAATGAGTGCCAGGAAGGAATAACAGCACAAAAATTAATAACCCAATTTTGGGGTTGTTACAGCGCGCTATTGCTAAGTAGCAGTAGCGCCTTATTTTAAACCTCATTGCTGGTAAGATTCTGTGTATAAGGTTTTCCCTAATAGTGCAAGCATGACAACTTTCGTGCTTCAGTTTATTTTTAACAGAAATTTGCCGTGTGTAACTAGAATTTGCCATCCTTGCATGACTGCAATTGCCATCGAAAAATGTCTGGGCCGGAGTGCCAAGCACCTGACGTGTGGCCCTTATCATTTGGATAATATTTTTCGATAAGAGACGCTTTTATTAACTCAAATATAGTATCTAACAGATGTACAACATAATAAGTAACATCATGCATGTGTATCGTTAAGATGCACACAACCAAACACAGACAGAGTGACAAGAGAAAATAAAAGCCGTCATATTATTGGGCACCAGTAAAGTCGGAAAGGACCGACACTATGCCTATGTCTAAGGAGGTGGTTGACCGATCCGGAGATTATGTTGCCATCCGTGTTGGAGAAAAACCTCCCTTACTACCCAGTCAACCGCGTGCACCCCATTTTGAACAACCGTTGTGACTCTGTTCGGTGTAGTATGGACCATATACGAAGCCCGTGTATACCACAAAAAATCACCTGCAAAGAAGTAGAGTTTTGGTCATTGAACACCAAATCATTTCTACATAGCCATAACGACTATAATAATGCTGACGCTCCCACCTTTATTAGCAAATCAATTGTACCTTGGAGACAATCTAAATGACATCTTCGAATAAGACCTTGGAGATATGGCAATCAATTGTGTCATGTGGGCAAAGGGTGACGTAGTTGAAGCTCTTCACCACGTGCATAAAAGTCTGCCTGGTCAGTCCGCTGACACCGTTGCAGCTCTGAAGAACATGTTGAGTGAGTTCTCGCATATCCAAATCCACTTGTCGGTCTATATCCTCTATGTTTTCCATTTTTTGTCCACCCTGATCGAATCATTACAAAGTATTGTTGTGGGTTAATTGAGAAATCGATCATGCACATCTCGAACAAATGGTTATATATAAACTCTATAGGAATTAGTTATACTGCACGTATGTAGATACCAACCTGTGCAAGAACCCTAGATGAAAGTTTGCGGCATATGGAAGAGGTGAGCCCCTCGAGCTGGGTATACTCCGAAATGTTCCGTTGCTGTTGGGTCGAGCCATGCCTTCCTGAGCAGACCTCGACTGTGCGAACTAACAGCAACGCTGTACTCCATTCACATGGTCCACTGCTCTCCTTTGCAGTCCATGTCGTGAACCAGTCCTTCCACTGCATATGCCATAATCAAATTAAGTTTTTTTTTCTTATTTATACACTCCTTGACAGTTTTTTTAACATTGAACATATATGTTTGGCAAACAGTAACATGATAGATATCAAATGAATTTGAGCTCACAGCTTCGCGAAGAGTGTCGGCGGCATTGTCAAATTTGCTGAGGTCCATGATCAGCTCATTAACAACATGTGGTATGCTATTTTCTACTGAATCCATTGCCCCCCTGCATGCACACGCACATGTTATCATTATTGTAGATAGATAATGGGCCGGAAGAGTATTATTACTCTTCCATGCACGTTATGATGATACGTAAATTTTATGATAAAACAGATAGAAGCTAGCTATTGGCAGTAGTTTTACTAGTATGATTATTTTCAGTTCTTTGTAGAGGAAAATCGTTTTTTTTTTTGCTTTGGAAAATGAGACAAAATTAAAGAAGTGTCCTACAAAAAAGGGAACAAAGAAATGAGCTGCATCAAACCTTGCTAGATTGTGGCTGTGGCCGGGAGTGAGGATAGCACTGAGCCGTTCCCTCAACTCGGGAGCGCAACCGTTGCGTTGGAAGTAGGAGGAGACAGCCTCAGCGAGCATCGCCGTGCGAGCCCATGCCAGGCGCTCTGCTGCTCGGGTCGGCTCAAAGATGTTTGCTGCCGCTAAGAAGTAAGCTCTGAGTGCGCTATTTGCGGACACACCATACATTTCCAGATTATTCCTCTCATACCACCTGCTTACACATATGTATTGTATGCATCTTGGTGTTAGAATCTATCAATATGATATGTACTACTCTATCCGTCCCATAATATAAGAGCATTTTTAACACTAATGTAGTGTCAAAAATGCTTTTATATTATGGGCAAAGGAACTAGTTTCCAATATATTGCAAATTTGACAGACTCACCTTTTCAGGCCATGCCACTCAAGTCGGCACATTCTCTGGAAGTTGGTGAAATCAGCTTTCGCCGCCTCTAGGTACAGGTCATTGTTGACGAGAGGCATTCTGAAAGGTTGGCCGTGTTAGCGATAAAGACAGATAGTGTGTCACTCAAATTACAATCGTAATAGCCCCTCAACACGAAAATAGGTTACTATAATTACCTATAGAGGACCTTCCCAATCCACACGTCATCGCCGCCCCCATATTGCTCCAGATAGAACCTTGTTTCGACTCGTGGCAAGCTTGCTTTCCAGGGGAAGTCCAGTGCGTATTCTACCTCGCCTGGCAAATCCTTGGGGATGACCCACTTGTCGTTGAGTTTGTTGGAGGCTCGCCTCTCTTGGAGGAATGCGCGGCCAAACTGCTCGGCCCGCCGAAGGACGTCGTCCTTCTCGCCGGGAAAAGCGACCTGGGTGGCGCGGTATGTGTTGTAAATGGCCGTGACAGATTGGCTCGACTGCCTAGGGAAGCAGAAGAATTCGCCGTCCTTTTCAAATTTCTTCAGTGCGCCTGCGTAGATATATACATGAACACGATCAAACCAGAGAGCAAGTATATGAATCACATGTACGAATATATGCGTGTGTCTTCTGTAAGACTTATGTTAGCAAAGGCTACAAATTTACATGGATTGACGTGGTAGCCGTTTAAACGGAGGAGACGGAAACCCATCGCGGTATCATCGATATCCGCTGCTGAGCACGACCCTGCGTGGCTCAGTCCATCGTCTTCAACCTGAGTCCAATGCCTGTTTAAAGTATATAAGGTTGTCCGTATAAGTTAACCATAGTTTCGCTTTCGTACGAAGAAAAGATACGCATGCTTTTCACTTATTCTAGAAACGGAAGCTTCACAAATAGAGTGATGAAACTCTTTAACTTAATTAAGAAATTCAATAACACTCTGAAAAAAGTCAAATTTTACACAAAACCGAAATTCATAGCACAGATCTCAAAGCAACCGTAAACAGTAGATGCATCATGCACAGTGCACGATCCCATGCACGGTAGAGAAAGCACTCTGGTCAAACATGCGGCAAATTATATAGAGATGCTAGGGTTAAGATTATGGAAATAGCTAGTTATTATGCGTTACCTGTAAGTAAAATCTAAGCACTCCTTGATTTCACTTGTGAAGTGCCTCGATATGCCCAGACGCGTCAACCGATCAACGGCCCATAAACGCTCGTACAAATCCACAGGATAGACACAGGGCGCTGAAATGTAGGGAAGGAGAATAAACAAGAACTTATTTAAACGTTGGTATATATATTCAAAATACAGTCTCTTTTCGAGCATTTGTAAATTCAATGTCGTGTCGCATTATACTGCAGCTTACCTCCCCCATCAAACTTTTTGACGATTTCATCTATGTATTTGAGGCATTTTAGGTCGCCTGTTTCCTTCAAAGCACGAGCTGTTGCTGCAGGTGATGTTCTGAAGGAACCATCTGAACACTTCAACTTAAGCAGCCTTTGCCAGTCCAAGTCCACCATTCCCTCGACACTGTGAAGTAGAGTCGTTGGTATACTGTGCAGTATATCCAAAGGAATCCTACAGTTTGAGATCAGCTGATTAATTAATTAAGTTTAGCAAATTGGATGCATAAAGAATGAGGATTGCGTAGATAGTATTTGCGCCCCCATTGCAACGCATACACAGTTATCTAGCAGTAGTAAATAATATATGTAAAAGGTATAGAACCACGTGGTTATGCGTACTTGCTGAGCTTTTGGTTTCTCTGGGAATATATTGCGTCCAAGGCAGGGTGATCATAAGGAATGTCAAGACCCAGGTCCCTGGCCATGCATAGGAGCGAGGGGAAGCTAATCTCGAAGCCTATTAGCGTCCAGTCTTCTTCTTGTTCGGCCAACCTCCACATATTTTCTCTGATAAACTTCAAGCCTACAATAAACACGATCCAGTCTACGTAAGAGACTTAGAAGACGTGGGTAAATCTAAAGCAGCGGTGCAGAAGATTTCATCCTAGCCCAACAACAATGAAGCAAGGTACGTACGTACCTTTCTCGCACTTGTCAACGTGAAGGTTCCATGACGTCAAGGCCACAACACATGCTAGGGTGTTCATAATCCGGTCTTGGATCAGGAAAAACGAGCTCTCACCCCACGAACCATCGGGCAGCTGGTTTTGAACGATCCAGTCAATGCTGGAGGGGAACTGAGGTCCATCACCTCCATCTAGATCCCCGACAAGGGCGACGAAGGCGGTGTCGTAGGGCGAAACGGTTATCTCGCCTCCACCCATGGAGCTCATCCCTGCTCTGATGGTGTCGATCATGAGTGCAAGCTCGCTTGGGTCATGGTGAGCCTTGATCGAGTTGTAATATGTTTGTTAGTTTAATTATAAGCGCAAATCATCGTGCTGTCAAAGTGAATTGCATGCATGTATACGTACCATGTGTCGACTTCCACCTTGTACGTCCACTGGTGCTAGTTGTGGGTCTATCTTTTGGTTTCTTGGACGATCTTGCGCCTGTGCTGGGCCCGAGGTTTGCACATTCACCACGCCCCCTGGAAAGCAAAGGAGGAAAGTCAAAGTAGGGAAAAGCGGGTGTATAAAAATCGTACAAGATTAAATACAGACGTATGCCTTGATATTTCCTCAAAAAAAAAAACCTATGCCTTGATATGAAAACCACTGCTATACTAAAAGGAACAGTTGATTGTCTCAAAAGGAAGAACGGTTTTTTTTTTGCGAGGGAAAAGGAAGAACAGTTAATCTATAGTATTGTTCATCAAGTGAATAATTGACTTCACGTAAGGTGATAAGGTCGTCTATGTAATTACCACGTCGTCGGTGTCGAGCTTGTAGCATCAGGAGACTTTGTTGTCTCCATGGCACGTTTGCCTGTCGGACATAGGATGCGGTGCAGAGGTTACCGTTAAACACCTGCATCTTCGCTCGTCCTCACGCAGCAAATCTCTCCCTATTACTTCTGTGTTTCTCGCTCTCTATCTATCTCTCTCCCTCTCACCCGTCGATCTGTAGTATTTATACCGGAACCCGCGGGACGCGCATCATTTAAGTAAGTCGTAGGCATGCGTGGAGCAGAGTTGCAAGTGACTTCCACGAAGCAACTCCCACGTTCTCAGAAAACTCCACGGCAGCCCCAGAAATCTCTTGTCTGTATTTTCATGCTGCAGTAGATGGTTAAACCTTACAGTTCAGCAACATAAACCAATCTAGACAATGGCTACTCTTCGCAGCAAGCCAATTCCCAAACGGAAAACACAACAAAGAGGTTTTCCTAAGCTAATATGCCCATTTCAGTTTACGCTTATTTTAGAGCCCATGAGTTATGCCACCTCATCCCATTTAGCTTTACAAACTAATTGCATCATGCGTCTTCTATACACACTTTCCTTATCCCGCACTAGTGAGTGTTTATTCCTAAGAGCATGTATGATGTGATAATATGCAATTTCCAGTATATTATTATTCAAATATTCCAGTTCTTACAATCAAGTCTCATTGTAACATATTGCAACCAAATCTCATCACAACGCTTCAGGTATCATCTGGTTGTACTAATAGAGTAACTATCATTGAATAATGGTTAATCTATTAGAACTTTTTAGATGATATATTCGTGCTCCAAATTACATATTTGTGGTTGTGATTTATACCACAAAAGTTACATATTAATAGTCTTATTCTTGGTCAAAATATTTATTCTAATGAAACCTAATATGCAATGTATTTTGATATGCAGGAGATACCTCCAAAACTTCACCTCACATGGTTCCCTTGAGAAGGTTCTGAAATTCAAGAATCGAATTTCGATTCTAGAAACATATAATAGTGTTTGGATGCCACAATAATTCGAATTACAAATTCCACATCCAATTTCACCAATTTATAATGTGACCAAACCAATTATTTACTATTATTAAAGAACTGCTAGAATATGTATATATGCACACATGGACTCGCCAAAATGAACAAAATTGCTCCTCTATGTACCGAGTCATCTCTGAACTGTAAGATAGTTTGGGAAAAATTAAAGGCGTGATTGAGGGGTTGAAGCTTTAAATGCCAAAATTTTACAAAAGGTATATGCATGTACATACGTCGGGCCCACTTGCATCAATTTATCTGCCAATAGGCTCAAAGTTGCTTACACGAGGGCAATGCTTACCAAATTTCAAAGGATTCGGCCCCAATTTCATAATGTCAATGCAGGACTAAAAATCTTGATCCTGGTTTTATGAAATCCATATGTATATATATAGGTGTGCAGGATCCACTTGCACGAACTGCTCTCAACGAATAAGATGCAAGTTGTCCCCCCACCCGTGGACATTGCCCATAAAATTTCAAACAATTTCTAAAATATTTCCTCTGTGAAACATGATGTTAATTAAAATTTTATAAATGCACAAATGTTACGAAAGTACTTACTAGAGATAAAAGTGCTAGTGCTAGTGAATAAGTTTGCCTTTCCGTTTTCGCTATTTGTAGCCCTAGTAGAGATAAAAAATGCTTTATGTTCTTTCGCCAAAAGAAAAATGTGATTTATGTTCTCTCAAAGAGCACAGCCCACACGGTTGATGATATTTTATCGGTCCATGCACTTTGGTGCTCGTGACCTCCCGAAAGAGCCTAATTGATCGATAGTGGCTGGGGCGTCGGAAAATCCCGAGGCAGTTCGTGTCCAATCACGTCAGCTGCAGCGCTCTCCTTTTTTCTTGCCCTTTCTCCGGATCCGAATTCCGAACCCAACAAAATAAGAAAACCTTGCTGCGTCAAACTACTCCTTCCTGTTCAAAGCAAAATATATGATGCATGCCTATTTTCTCTTTGTCTAACAACGTGCGACGACGATCGATACAAAGAAATCATCGGCTTGGAGTGGCGGCGACCCGTGCTCTCGTCTGGCTTTAACAATATGAGACGATGAGAATTTCCATGGGACAAATGCATGCAGCCGACGCTATCGTAGTTGATCTTGCCCACGCTCCGTTCAATGGCTGGCTCAACCACTCTTAGGCCTTTCAAGGTCCACACGCAGAACACGATTATAGAGCGGGAGAACACCATGCTTGACACTGGAAGCACCCAAAACGAACAAGACAAGCAAACAAGACTTCCATGGCCAACAACGACCCGTGCGAAACCCTATCTGTAGTACCCGTACTTCAAAAAAATCTAAAAGTATTCCTTAGTCATTTGTTTCCTAGGAATAAAATTCCAGGTCAACACACTTAACGTAAAAGGTTTGGACTGTAGAGCGGATAGCATAATTCCAGGTCAACACATGCATCGATCCGCGGAATCACGTGCTTATTCTCCTTAAGTACCTTGCTGGGAACACTATTCTAGGTCAACACATGCATTGACCCGCGGAATCATGTGCTCAACACACTGACCCGCAGCATCACGTGTTTGAATGAGACGACATATCGCTCACCTTTTAGCTCCTAACGGATTGGTAGACGAATAGTACCACATAGCCGGAGAACACCATGCATACTCCTGTGATCAATCCAGCTTGAGACTGGAACCACACAAAACGGTCAAGACAAGGGAACACCATCTTGTATCTTTCGATGTCAGACGTAGCTGCCAGAAGCCAAATAAGAAAAGGAATACATAAACACTCAAAAATCTGACGTCAAATTTTTAGGCATAGCAAATCTTACGTTTTTCATCGCAATTTATATTGGCTCGATAATGGTAAAGTTAGTTTGCAAGCACGGCAATTCTGAGAAAAAAAAAGCTGAGGCGGATTCATCACACTCGTGAACTAAACTTGCCATCCTCTAACTGTTTTCAGTTGAGAAGGTTGCAGGGGACTCATAGTGGGTGATGGCTCTCCTCTCCCCTTCCCCCTCCTCCCTCCCCGACCCTCCTCCCCTCCCCTCCTATCTCCCTCCTCCGGCTCTCTCCTCTGCCATGGTCGGCGCTGCCGTCGGCTCCCCTCCCCCATCGAGTGCAGGGCTCCCCTAGCCGCTGTGGCCCCGCCCCCCTCCCCCCGGGCCAACCGCTTCTGGGCTCGGGCGGGCGACGCTTCAGACTCAGACTCTGACCTCCCTGCTCCGCTACCGGCCTCTGCCGTTGCGAGGATGCCTGTCCCATCTACTCCCGTCGTCGTCGCTTCACTCTGGGCGGTCGTGGGGTGCCCTGGAGGTCCTCGTTGCCATCCGGGGTGCCGGATCCGGGCTGGGCCGCGGTGGTGCCCCGCCGTGCTTGTCGTTTTGATAAGTTTGCGCACCGCTCCATCGATGCTGGTATCCTCGGCCCCGGTTCCTCTCCTAATTCCACTCCCTCTCCCCAGTCCGTGCTAGCCTCGTTGTTCGTTACCTCACCGGCGCTGGATTTGGTGATCCACGATGTTCGGGTGGCGGTGGCGGAGGGGCACGACATCTCATCTCCTCTGACCTTAGGTGGAATGGAGGCTGGGCCTGGGCCGCGGGCTTCGTTGTGTGGACCCGGTCCTGCGGCTCGGCTGGCTATATGCCCATCTGGGCCAGCTTGGTCTGACATGTCTTTCCCCCCTCTCGTGGGCCATGATAGCCCTGTTTGCTCCCGTCCCCCGCTCCCTGGGCCTGGCCCATCTTGTCCCCCAAGCCTTGGCCTACTCTGGGTTCTTAAGAGGCATCCAGACCCCTGGCTAGGGTTACCTGCCTATCATCACGATCTCCGCAGATCTAGGCTCCCTCCCCGCACTCTTTCCCTCCTTCCTCCGCCTCTCCCTCTTTCCCGTTTGTTCGCCGCCGTCGTGGCTATGGACCAGTCACGCGGCTCGTTGAGCGACCGCAACTCCAATGGGAAGAGGCCTTTCAGGTCGCCAAGGGCGGGCAACTATGATCCGGTGGCCTACGAGGGCCAAGCTTCAGGATGCTCAGGCGGCATGCGAGCGCGACAGGGTGGGCATTTCTCGTGTGTCTGATGGGTGGGCGCGTCGACCGGCCTGGCAGGTGTCGAGGCATACGTGGATCCCTGGGAGGCGGCGGCGTATGCCGCTGGGGCCACTGGATCCAGGATGGACTGGTCCTCTCATCCGCTCATGGCGCCCAAAACTGGGGCGATCGGTCCCTGTGTTGGATCGGCCCCGGGTGATGCTCGTCCCATCTAGCGCTTCTCTTCCTACTCTAACTTCCCCAACAAATAGCGCAACTTCGGGTCGGCGGGCTGCGCTGACGATATTCTCCCTCATCCTCCTCCCACGGGTGTGCCTTCTAGCTTTCCACCCCCCGTCGCGTCTAGTACTGCTTCCCCGTCTGGATCCATGTCGTGCTTTGCTTGCCATAGGCCTGGTCACCTCCATTCCCACTGTAAGTTTCCTCCGTTCCTTTATTTTTTGCTAGGATGGCCACCTCACGATCGAGTGTATCGACCGTTTCCCGCCTTCTATGCTCAAGCACTTTGGGCTTGGCCTGCTTGGCTGCGAGTTCCCCACACTAGTGGGCAACCTTGACATAGTTTCCCCTATCCCCACCATCCAGAACGCGGCGGTCATCACCGTGCTATCCAAAGACTACTCCTTGCTGATGCTGTCCGACAAACTCAATGCATGGGGCGAGGATGGCTGGGATTGGCAGATCCAGCAGTTGTCCCCATACTCCTTTGGTGTCATCTTTCCCTCCAAGGACAATCTCAGGATGATTGCTTCATGTACTTGTTTCACTCCCCCGCAACTAGTTGGTGCTCTCGGTTAGGGAGGCAGAGGAGGCTGGGAGGCTGGGAGGATCCAGCAGTTGTCCCCATACTCCTGCAACTCTTGCTGATACTTGGGTTCTCCTTGATGATGTCCTGCCTGTGATGCGCAGTTCTGCTGCCCTCCTGGCCTTTGGGGAGCTGATTGGCATGCTCGTCTCTCTTGATGCTACATATCTTTCGTGCCTGGGCTCGGTCCGCATGCTCATAAAATGCACTAATCCTACCTGAGTCCG